GATGAGCTTTAAGGTCCCTCCCAACCCAGACTATTCTGTGATTCTATGACTAATGTTTCCTGCTTGTCCTTTTGTAGGAAGAGCTGCAGTTATTATTTAACCAACAGATCCAATTTAATCTCAGCTGCTGGAAGTCTTTCAGCTCCAGGGAAGGAGTGGGTGGATTAAAACTGCTATTACATTGGGCCTGGCAAAAGAAACATGTCTCATTCTTCTCCTGTGACCAGCAGCAGCTCTGCTGATGGCAGCTTGGTAACTTGTGAATTACAGCAGCGTGGGAGGACAGCAGAGCTCGTGTGTTTCATAGGCTGGATTTGCAGGTGGCCAACCCTGTGCATGGCTGAGGGGGTGGATCTGGTACTTGCAAAGTAGCAGAGATGAGCTGCACACCAGACAGCCTTTGGTTGCGATGTGCCCGGAGAAGCTTTGGCTCCTGGGAAGCAGGAGGGTGGGGTATCAGTGACTACTTAGATTTCCCTGATTTCCAGAAGAGGACCCACCTACCTTGTGCTCTTCCTTTGAAGGTGTTCACATGGAGAGCATGACACCTCTGCTTGGAGGTGATGTCAAAACCATCTGTGATCTTATCCTGATGATTGAAGAGCAAATGACATAGTACTTCACCTTTAAAACACGGGGGAGCTCTTGGCTGAGCAGGAGAGCTCTCATGCATGGGTGGTATCCACCAACCAGTTGCTCAGCCATCTGTAACTTCACTATGAAGTGATGTTTCTTGGCCTCTCCTGTCTTCTCACAGCTGCCATGGGCAGTGCCATGTGGAAGGACAGTTGGAGTCCTGCCTCCCTGCGGGCAGGAGGTCCTTCTTCCTGCAAGGTCTCAACTCCATAGGGGTTGGCACCTTGTGGGAGTGAGAGGTCAGCTCAACCTGCACCCAGCATAGAATCATAGAATGGTTTGGGTTGGAAGGGACCTTAAAGATCATCCAGTTCCAACCCCCCTGCCATCAGCAGGGACACCTTCCACTAGACCAGGTTGCTCAAAGCCTCATCCAACTTGGCCTTCAACACTTCCAGGGAGGAG